GTCGTGAGTGAAAGCATGGGTAACAGAATAGTGTAGGGTTGTGATCGGTGCGTCCGTCAAAGCTGGTACAACACGCAAGGCTTGCGGGTTTGGCATTCCCCAGTGACCAGTTATGGTATGCTCGTCTTAAACGAACCTTCTTGACAAGTTATCCAGTGTTGTTCTACATTCCTTGGTGGGGTAGTAGCTAACCTTGCGGTTAACTCGTCCCGACAGTCGTCCAATGCACCTTGGTCAGCAAGTTTGACAATATCAGTTTGTTTGCCACCAAATCGCATAGGCAAATTGGCGCAAGCCAGAATCCAATCCGGTTAACTAGTACGTACGACAGCAACACCCTTGCCATCTATAACCGATTTCTATGAGATCATTCTGAGTCCGTCTGTGTTGGTGATGGGTAGATAAGTGACGCTTTGATTTTTTTCATTCTTACTTTTATTAAATACATAAGGATACCATTTTCCAGACGAGGGAAGCGGCCTATCAAAAGGCTGTCATACAACAAACAGAATGAGGCAGTTAGGCGGTGGTGGTGGTGGGATGCGACCACACGTCCTCCGGGGTGATAATTTGGTGACGTTACTACCACCATCGCCGTTTCACACTAACTGTGTTCTGAGCACGGGCTAAAAAGTCTGTCCCCATTAGCTGAGCAACAGCTGTCAACGTCGTGATGACCTAGATGGATCTCATTAGACGACAGACGACTAGCGGTTTTGATTGTTGTCTTTCGGCTAACTATTTGAATGAAAAGACAAGAAGTATTAATTTTGCAGCTGCGTTACGGTGAAAATAGAAATCTCAGGTTGAATAAGGATGAAAAGTGGTGTAGATACTGTTTACGGATATCAACAATATAACTTGAAATTACCAGCCGTTGGTTATGCTGATTTCTAACCGAGAAGCCTAACTCGACCTACATGACTGATTCCTCCGATCAGAGGTTTAGTTTCCTCATGCAGGGCCCTAGCTTGACCACTCTTGATTTTCTTACTTCCTCTACCTATCTTAGCAAACGCTGCACGTTAAGGAAGCCTATTGGGTGGCGCGTGCCCCATCCAGTCTAATCTATGGAGATTGAGCACGTACTTCACTGGAGGACCGCGATTGTCCAAAACTGCCTTGTATCCGTATTCCGGTTAGACAGCATACATCCCAACCGAAAGCCTCAGGGGTCCTGGGCTAGGCGGCTTGTCCAATATGGTAAAGTTTGCGGAAATTGAATGCCGCTAATTGAAGAGGTAGTTTTGATTTCATCAATCCAATGGCTTCCCATTTACCTGCCTTACTAAGTGACCTCTTTGTAGTGTATCCTGAGTGGTATGAAACCAATCATCTCGTGTGATATGGGAGGGAAAAGAAGAAGTAGAAGTAGGCGAAATAGATCTGTTTATTTTTTCGCTTGTCACTTTTTGACCATACACTCAGATCAGAGCTGACTATGCAACAAAACTCCAAAGACTTTGAGCACCATGCTCGTATTCACAGCAAAGGACCTACAGTAGTGATCGGTTTTTGCTCAGGTGCGATGCTATCATCTGGAACGAAAATTGGTAAATTAGACAGTCCATTTCCGAATTCTGTCAGTCACGGAAAATCTTTACTTTTTCAAATCCATGTTGTTGGTCCAAATCAAGTTGATGAGTTTTAGTCTCGATGTGGCACATTCCTTGTTGCGCAGTATTCCACGGCAATGCACGTTTGCTTATTTTAAATGAAATTTTCACATCTGTTCTCTTCTCATGCTGTCTTCTTGTATGTGCGAATGACCAAATCGACCAACATTCGTGTAAACTCCTACAGACTGGTTGCCGAATTCTCATGGGTTTACTGGTTCATGCGGAAGCGGTTCATTTCTGTGCCACGGTATGTCCAGCCTGCTCTGTCCCCTTACTGCAACCGGGTCGTGTGGCCCAGGACTGTCCCGCAGGGCATTTGTATCACCGTTTAGCCGATTTGCGTCTCCAATTGGAGGAGGCTGCTCTTGGTCCTATGAACGAATCTGATGTGAACGGGAAGGAGAATAATACTGTATCTGCCGGTGGACGGATGCGGCTGACACGATTAGATGATTGGTTGGTCGCGGTCGATAAGTTCTGGTCCGATGCTGCCAACGAGGATGAACCATCCAAGGTCGGTTACTCAAGTGGCGTTTGTTGATGTGATCTTGTTGTTTTGTGGTTTGCACTTCGTACTGGTGTTCCTGACAGTAATCAATTAGAAACTTTTATCCCTTCCCCTTACCGGATGTGCACTCATTGCTCATGTTTTCCTGGCACCACTCATTCTATGTGAGCAGCTGCTTCACGAGCGTTCTCAAGAGTCTGATGTTCTTGTGCAGGAGGGATTTTTTAATTCCTACATTCTGTCGTACTGATGTGTTCCGGAGTTACATAACCGTACACTACCTGGCGCGTGCTCAGGATGCGAATGGGGCAACGATCACCAATCTAGTGTCTAACCATACACAAGGCCCGTTCAGGGTCACTGAATGAGCGACCGCAGATGAGCATCGGAAGTGCCCCGGGGACTGGTGGGTATCCTATCCATGAAACGCCGCATGAGTCTGACGATGATACTGTCACGTGGTGAATATGCCTCGTCATCAGTAAAACCACCACCCGCTTGTACGGTTCCGTCTATTCATCATTGCTTGCTAGAGGACACCTGAAATAGTCATTCTCAAAATGCCCAAGTCGAAATCATAGTTTCACTCAATCATTGGTTAGAATTTTCAGTTTGAACAACCATTAACCACGCATATTCGTGCGCCGGTTTTGGTTGCTGTCTTTTGGCTGTCCATTTGGATGAAGAATAGAAGAAGAAAGGAAACTTGAAAGTGAAGTCGAAAAATAATGGAGAAGTTCAGGGGTCTAAGTTTGCAAAAGATTGTGAAGATGTACGAACGCCACTGGTTGCGACACCCAGCCATATCGCTCAGTGTCTCTAGCCCTCGGTTACGATCATCCCGAGGTCCCCAGCCAGGGAGCCTAACAGGACCTATGTAACCCAGTCTCCTGGTCAGGGTTTTCATACCCTCGTGTCAAGTCTTAGCTTGACCACCCTTTTATCCACTAACTAGATGCCTCAGCAAACACCGCTCGCCGTGGTAACCTATCTAGTGACATTCGTAACACATGTCCCAACCAACGTAATCTATGGAGGNCCCCACCAGATTCGTGCAATGCTGCGTAGACAGCGGTGTTCGAACACCGACACTCCGTCTTTATCCTGTTCTCTTGATGACCAAGTTTCTGCACGGTATAGCAGGACTGGCCGGACTGCCGCGGCATACACTCGACCTTTCACAGACAGTCAGATTCCGTGACGGCGCCACAGATGTCTCAAGTTGGGAAATGCCAACCGAGCCTTCTGTATGCGAGCTGACACTTCATCCGTGATGCGTCCACCGGGTGAGATGTAGCTGCCCAAATAACAAAACTTATCCAGCTGCTCTATTAC